TAAGTTATTTTTTTCTTAGAATAAGTGCATTTTTTCTTTGATTGAGGAGGTAAAAAAGACATTTTGTCAATGGAAAAAGACAATTTATGCTTAAAACAAGAAAACACAATTACATTGTCTCATTTCAAGTGCATATTATCTAATTATCTTATTTTAAATGTAAAATATTTATTTTAAGATTTTGATTTTTTGCAGTGTGAAGTCAAACTGAGAACCAACACTGGAAAAAATAAAAATCTAGATAAGTCAGTTTTTCTTAAAATAAATGCATTTGTTCTTGGATTGAAGAGGTAAAAGAGACATTTTGCCATTGGAACAAGACAATTTACACTTAGAATAAGAAAACACAATTGGTTTGTCTTATTTCAAGTCCACATTATCTAATTGTCTTATTTTAAGAGTAAAAATACTAATTCCATTGGCAAATTATCTAATTTACCTACTCAAATTAAGGGTAAATACACTTAATTTAAGAAATTTTTACTTATTTCTAGACTGTTTTTCCAGTGAGAACCCTCCAAGCTGTGCTTCTTGGTCTCATCCAACAGCTGAGTGACCCGGCAGGTGAGCAGCACCAGGAGCAGGTTTTAGATTTTTAACGTCTGATTTAAATCATCCAAACCAACAACTAACCAAACTCTAGAAAATATGAGATTTTGATTCACATTATTTCCTAAATGTTTTGTGCACATTGCAAAAACAATCTAGAAATAAGTAAAATAGTCTTAAATTAAGTGTATTTACCCTTAATTTGAGTAGGTGAATAAGATTGCCAGTGGAATAAGTAGTTTTACGCTTAAAATAAGATAATTAGATAATAAGCTTTTGAAATAAGACAATGCAATCATGTTTTCTTATTTTAAGTGTAAATTGTATTGTTTCATCGGAAAATTGTCTCTTTTACTTCCTTATACGAAGAACAAATGCAATTATTTTAAGAAAAAAATTCATTTTTTCCCAGTGTACCTCAGATAATTATTCAACCAAACACTTTTCCCCTTTTAAAATTTAAAATTAAATGTTCTTGCTTGAACCTCTTGCTGCTGACAGTGAAGATATGGTTTGTGATCAACTTTTACTCTACTTTAGCAAAATAAATCATAATATAAAAATTATTCAGTTTATAAAACTGAATGTGAAACACTGAAATTTGAAAAAAAACAATGGAAATTTCAAATAAACCAGAAAAAAAAAGAACACTGCTGAAAACTCATCCCACAGCTGAGTGAACGACCAGCTGAGCAGCACCAGGAGAATTTCATGTAAATTGTCTTGTTCATTTGCAAAATGTCTCACTTACCTCCTCAAAGTAAAAATGCACTTATTTTAAGAAAAAAATTAAAAAATATTTAGATTTTAATTTTTAGCAGTGCAGACACAACTTTACCTCAGATAATTATTCAACCAAACGAATTTCCCTGTTGAACCAAATTCAAAATGTTCTTGCTTGAACCTCTTGTTCTGCTGTTGACAGTGAAGATATGGTTTGTGACGAACTTTAACGCCACTTTAGCTAAATAAATCTGTGATTTCCATGATGCAAAGCAGATTAGATGGATTGAAGGCATACATAGAAAGAGTTGGACGCTTACAATCCCAAAATGCCGTACAGCACCATGTCCAGGTAAACTACGATGGTGTTTCTCCGGTTTTTCACCGGCTGCATTATTTCTAGAGCCGCATTTGATGTCGTCAGGTTCACTTTTCGATTGCACTTTTTTTCTGATTCCGTTTGACGGATCCCAAATTTCCCTCTCACTTTTTCTTTACTTCTGATTACTTTTTTTCTACACTGCAAAAAATTAAAATCTAAATAAGAAACTTTCTTCCTTGAAATAAGTGCATTTTTTTTTTTATTGAGGTGAGACACTTTGCAAATGGAACAAGAAAATTTACATTTACAGTGGATAAACGATCTAGAAATAAGTCAAAATGTCTTAAATTAAGTGTATTCACCCTTAATTTGAGCAGGTAAATGAGATAGTTTGCCAATGGAATGAGTATTTTTACTCTTAAAATAAGATA